GAAAATTAAAAAATGTCAACTTTCGCCGTTCATTTTCTTTTTTTACGACTAACACGATAACGCTTTAGTATATATTTTTATCTTCTTCTTCTTCGTTCTTTTTTTCTCTCATACTTTTTTTTCCCCCACTTTCTCTTCGATAAAAATTCAAGATTTTAAAGATGTATACCTTATAATCATCATCAAAATTCGAACGAAAATTTTGGTTAAAATTATGAAAATATTAAAATTATTATTTATCTTTGTCCGACATTTTACAAACTCTTATCTTTCAATATCAAATCAATTTTATATTCCTTTCTCAATTAATTCTTAAAAGGAATGATATTTTCGAACGATTAACAAGAATATTATCATTTTTCGATAGTTGAACTCGATTAATAAAAGTTCGAGAAATTTTGTTATTGATTATAAAAGAGAAAAATGATCAACGATATTTTAGTTTAAGTAATTATTACGTATAAGAAAAATTGTCAAAGATATTTTTATCATTATTCTTTCGAAAGTAACTGAATGATTTTAATTAATGGTATCAATGTACGCATCTCGTTTGTCACAAGACAAGAAGATTGGAAAATACCTCGAAAATAGTTGATCAAATTATATACATACATGTATACATATATAGATATCTATGTACATACATATATACATACAATTATATATGCATATACAACGTGTATATATATATATATATATATATATATACCTGTAGAGAAGAGAAATTACAAAATTTCTGAATGAACAATCTTGTTGAATGTTATAAGCGAGAAAACTTTGGTTACTAAATTTATATCACGTTTTACATATATACATATGTATTTGTATATGTATTACATATGTGTGTATTTACCAACATCGATCGTCAACAAATTTTTCACAGTTCGCTTGTCATAATCATGAAAGTCGTAAAAAAGTAAAACTTCACGATTTCATAAAAGAAAAGTTTGAAATTTCTAAGAGTAAAAAACATATATAGTATATATATATATATATGTATGTATGTATGTATGTATGTATGTATGTATGTATGTATATATGTATATATGTAGATATATTTGTACCTGTGCGTTCACATACGTACAAATGTAAAGTAATATCGTAGAGCATTAAGGTTGGATATAAAAAGTTTGAAGGAAAGTAGTTTGCAAATCTTTTCAAGTACTTTTTACACGATTCCTAAGTCAGATTTCTATGCTTTTTTTTTTATTTATTTAATGTAAATCGAAGATTTATTCGAATGTTTTATACGAATGTCGAATCATTCAAAAGGAAGAAAAAGTTCAATAGATTAGGTACCTAATTTAGATTTATCTTTTATAATCAAATTTCTTCCTTTGCTTTTTTCTTTTAGCCAAACAAATTTGAATCAATAAAATTTTAATATTTAATAACAAATAATTTATATAAATCTACAAATATATATATATATATATATATATATATATATATATATATATATATATATATATATATATATATATAGTCTACTAATGGAACGAAAGTCTTCTATTGCCTTTGGCAAATTCGAATCAATGATGTGATTCAATATTCAATATTCAAATCGACAATAATTAATACAAAATATTAAAAATAATTTTATAAGGGCAATGAAATTTTTTGCATTTATTTTAGCCGATATAAATTCGATAAAATTTTTCTAATGACCGTAAAATAAATTCGAATAAATAAGAATCAATATTCAATGATTTAAATAAAAAAAAAAAATTTACACGCGAATATACATGTATAATTTATAAATGCGATGAAATTTCTGCATTGTTTAAAAAAACGAAAGTATATAAAAAATAAGAAAAAAAAAAGAAAAGAAAATTTCAATAATAAAATCTAATATTAAATGACATTGATACATATATATATTATATATATATATGTGTGTGTGTATACGTACATATATAATGAGAGATACGCCAATAGATGAATATTATTGAATGCCTGATTCAGGTGGATACGGAATTCCTTCAAAGACTCCAAGTCACGAAACTCGACCGACATGCAGCTTGTAGTCTGCCCATGAAAATGTTTGCAGCTTGGAAAAATATTTCTTCGGCAAATGGTGTTAACTAGGAAGATCTGAAAATGCCTCGTCTTCGATATTGCGTTTCTGTATGTTTGTCTCTCTTTCTCTCTCTCTCTCTCTCTCTCTGTGCTATTCTATCTCTCTTTTTTCCTTTTTCTCTATTTCTTTCTCATGCTCATTCTCTTTCTCTTTCTCTTTCTCTTTCTCTTTGCAAGACTGGAACAACGTGAAAGAAAACACGATGTTATCGCGATAATGGTTATTACAATCATTTTCATATACATATACATTACTCACATATACACACACATACATATACAAATATAATTATTCGGTAAATAAAGTTCCATTGTAAAAATTAACCAAAGGTTTTATCAAACGATCAAATGATTGTATTATAAAAATGATAATTATATCATGTTGTTATTTATTTGAAACTTTTCTTTTTTACAAATGTTATGACGATGTTAAAGAAAGTTAGAAGTTAAAAAGAGAAAAGTTAAGAAGATCAAATGAATTCTCGACGAATGGAAAGTAATAATAATAATAATAATAATAATAATAATAATAATAATAATAATAATAATAATAATAATAATAATAATAATAAAATAAAAAGAAATTCTTCATTTTTTGGATAGACATTCGTTTTCTTCTTCCACGTCGTTCTTCGTAATGTAATTATGTTCAAAAAATTTTTTACATTAATGTTTCATCTAATGAAAAGTTACAGAAATTAAATATATTTCTTTCTTTTTTTTTGTCTTTTTTTTCCTTTATGAATAAAATAATACAAAATATTAAAAGAAATATTTTTATTCGAAACGATATCTGTTTCTTTTCTTTTTCCAAGGGATTTTTAATGTTCATCGAACATCTAAGATCTATAGTCTCTGTAGAGAATATATTATTATACGTATGTATATATATATATATATATATATATATATATATATATAATATGTTATATACACAAATACGTTCCTATGTTTGCCTGCTTTGCTTTCTTGCAATTAGTATGAAATTTGCGTCACGTAATTTCACTTTATGCACGCAGCATGTCATTGAACGTCAAATGCAGTAATTGTAAAGTTGTAGTTAATCTTATCCGTTGTGCACTAGCTATGATGCGACAAGCAGGTTGGACAGTAGATTAGGTATTATCAAAATACGATTAATTTAATTCCCGTTCAATTTGAAAACGAATTGATATTTATTTTTATTATTTCTCTTTTCTTATTTGTTCCTTGTTTTCAATCAATTTTCTCGAGTTAAAAGAAAAATTGAGAATTATAACGTTTAGATCACCTTTTCATTTTCATAGTTCTCTGTAACTCTTAAATGTTTTCTTTTTTTTTTTTTTCCTTTTTTTTTTTTTTTTTCTTTTTCTTTTAGTTAAATTGAAAAAATTATATAGCGTGAAAATTTTGTATATATTACTTATATATACACTAAAATTACGTATATATTACGTATATGTAATATATACGTAATATATATATATATATATATATATATATATATATATAATATTCTCTAATCGCACATATTACTATGTAATATTACAATAATATACAAAAGAAAGATAAATATTAATAATTGAATAATTAAAGTTATTAATTTATAGTAATATTTATAAAATTCAATTTCGTGAAAGAATATATTTTATTTTTTAATGTTGTTTTTCTTTTTAAATCTGCAAATTAAAAAAAAAAAAAAATATATAAATATTATAAATAAAAAAAAGAACTTTTTAATCTTTTGTAAAATTTAAATTTATTGTATATATACATATATATTCCCTATTTTACCCTCTTTCTTATTTCTTTCTTTATTTTTCTTCTTTATTTTTTTGATTCCTTCTTTTTGCCTTTTCCTTTTTTTTTTTTTTCAATCTGTATGCTTTCAGATGGACTTGATTCTTCCTTCGTCCTCGAAACACGACGAGGGAAACTTTTCATATGTAGATAGGCAAATTTTTGGACGGGAAAACGATGTGCGAAACGAAGTAATTAAAAAAGTTTCTAGCTAAATAAAGAGAGTGGGAGATAGATAGAGAGAGAGAGAGAGAGAGAGAGAGAGAGAGAGAGAGAGAGAGAAAACCTTCAAGCTCGAGAGTTTTAAGCGTACTTTAGTAGTTTAAACGAGCAAATTTCTGCATATCACACTTGTTGAGATCACTTTCCTCCTTTCTTTCTTTCTTTTCATTTCTTTTTTTCTTATCTTCCTTTTCGTTTTCTTATTCTTTTTTTTTTCTTTTCATTTTTTTCTTTTTTATTTCTTTTTTTTACTGACACGAACACATCTATATATATATATATATATATATATATATATATATATATATACATACTTATATACGTAATAATTGCGATCATAGAACTTTGTCTATGATTCATATCATTCTTATGGTGCTTCTTTGTAAGACTTAATAATAATTTTTAGATAGGATATATAATAAGAGAAAATCTCTAATGGATTTTCGACATTAACGAGGGGAAAATTGAATCGCTGATTAAAAAAAAAAAAAAAAAAATAAACTATAAATAAATAAATAAATAAATAAATAAATAGGAAAGAGGAAGGAAGAAAAAAATGAAAATAGAATAGAATAAAATAAGAAAAGGAGAAAAGATTTATTCGCTTAAGCAAAATAATATATAATTACTTGTTATTGTATTAATCGATAAACTGTACGTTATATCGATGCATTATATGTGTATACGTATAGTTTATTAGTATACGTATTACACATAAATAATAATATATTAATATTGATAATAATATTAATAATATATCGTATATATTCTAATATCGGTGTTGTTGTATCGAATGAATTTTCTTTTTACAAAAAGAACACCTATATAATATATACGTAAATATTTTCTCGATGTATATTACATGAAATGAATATATGTATAATAATAATAATAATAATAATAACAATAATAATAATAATAATAATAATAATAATAATAAGAATAATAATAATAATAATAATAACAATAATAATAACAATAATAATAACAATAATAATAATGTTTTTTCGATGATTGCATTTCAAAGATACGAATCTTGTTATAAAAAAAAAAAAAAAAAAAACGAAATTCATGACAGTAACTTTGTAAAATGATGGACAACATTTTTGGAATTGAATTTCATATAAAATTATCGTTTATAACATTATCGTATATTTCTTATTAATTATCATTGTACACTACATACGTATGTGGTATTATAATTATTCAAGTGTTAATAATTATGAAAAAGACTTTTTCAATTCCTTATAAGATTATCATAATGGTCTACAATCGATTGTAATTAAATACATAAAGTATTAATTGTATTGATGTTAAGGATAAATAAGAAAAGTAAATTTTGAAGGATAGAAAATATCGAGCGTCGTTAATGTTTATTCCAAATTGTAAATTTTATGTCTATTGTATTCTATAACAATTGAGGAAAGAGAGAGAGAGAGAGAGAGAGAGAGAGAGAGAGAGAGAGAGAGAGAGTGTATGTGTGTGTATGTACGTAAAAAAAAAAAATGAAAGATAAAAGATACAAAGTTATGGTCATTTTTCGTTCTATTGTCATTCAAGATTTTTATTTATATTCTCCTTTGTAAGATGAATATCACTGATTTTCAAATAGCATTTATTTCCTAATATATATATATATATATATATATATATATATATATATATATATATATATATATATGTAACAAAATTATACAAAAATTCAGGAATGGATATCTCGTATGTAGAGATGAAAAAAAAAAAAGAAAGAATTAGGCTTTACCAATATGAATCAGGAAATGCTTAATTATTAATGCTAATACTTTCAATAACTATATTAGTATAGTATTGTAATAATATTTTATATTTTATTTCTTAGAATTACGATAACATTCTGTTACGATCATTTCTTTATATGAAATATTTTCGAAATGTCAATATCTTCCTTGTTTGAATATTGGCCAAGATTTGTCGTCTCATCGAGTTTCAAATACGCCCCATAAATACGCCTACTTATGATTGTCAAGTAAATATGTTAATCCATTTAACTGGTGTTAAAGATATTAAAAGTAAAATCTGACACTTGACATAACGATAAACGTAGAGACATTTGAACATAATCAAACTGATATTTCGAATTTAATTTCAATTTAATTTTATTACAAATTATATATAAAATATACACACATATATATACGTAGATACATACATACGCACGCATACACATACACGCGCACACACATTTATACTTATATATATGTAATTATATAATTATATATATATATAGGAAGCTTTGCAAAAAGTTTTATAAAAAAATGTATATGAATATATACATTATATACTAGTAAGGAAAAAAAAAAAAAAAGAAAAAAAAAAGAGAAAAGTTATCTTGTTAAAAAGAATATCTACTATCGTGTATTATAATTTAACGATTATATTATCGTTGATCGTTGATCAAAAATGAAATAAAACTTTTACTTCCTCTCGACGATTCTTTTTTTCATTCGATTCGAATATTATGAAGAAGAAAAAATACAAAAAGAAGAAGAAGAAGAAGAAGAAGAAGAAGAAGAAGAAGAAGAAGAAGAAAAACAAGAGAATAAGAGAGAGAGAGAGAGAGAGTGAGAGAGAGAAAAAAAAAAGGAAAAAGAAAAATCCTTTAATCCCTTTAATGTACCACAAAATTTCTTCTGAACTTTTTTATTAGACGAAAAAAGCTCCTTTGAAAATTAATCGCCGATCATCTTTTGACTAGTCCTTAATTAAAGTTCTCAAGTATTAATTAGATTTGACTGTGAATATATATATGTATATATATATATTTAGTTGTCGGTTAAGAAAATGGGACGAAGTACGGTAAATCGCGTAGGAAGGAGATCTACAGAAAGTAGTGTGGGTGTAGGGGGTTGGGTGAGATTCGTAGTGAGGATGATGCAAAGGAGAGAGGTGAAAAATCCCTGAACGGAAATCATTCCGCATGAGAAACGTAAGATCAAGATTTGAAATAAGAGAAATAGGAGAAGAGGGAAGGTATAAAAAAAAAAAAAAAAAAAAGAACTCGAGCGATGCTCTTTGAAGTTGGAATAAAGTTGATGGTCGTATGTTGGGGTAAGAATAAGATACGATAGAACGGACTGGAAATCTTCCTTGGGGGATACGAAGTGTATCTAAGAGAATCAAAGTGAAATAGTTTCAATTCGACAATACTGAGAAACGTATTATTTCCTTTAGATTGGATGCGTATGCATATTGCAGAGAGATTGAAAACTTCGATCTTATTACGTGAAAAATTAGAAAAGTGAACGACGATGGAGAGACTTCTCGTGTGGATTAAATTTTTGTAATAATTAAATAAGGACAAATTTATAATGAATTTCTTTTTTCTTTATTTCTTTTTTTTTTCTTTTTTTCTTTTTTTCTTTTTTCCCCCCCGTTTATTATTATTATTATTTTTTTTTTTTAATCCAATTTCTCTCTCTCTTTTTTTTTTTTTTTTTTTTTTTTAGATAGAAAGAATCTTTCAAGAGAGATAGAGATTCGTTTAATCGTAAAGTAGAGAGAAGAGAAAGTCATCAAAGAAGTCGAGTATCTCTTTCCGATTTTTCTTTTTTTTTTTTTTTTTTCTTTTTTTTTTTCTCAACGTCGAGACGGTCGCTTTCGTGTGTGTAACGACTATGTCAGGATGTTATATGAAAATTTGATTTTTCAGACAAATCCGAAGACATAAGAATTAAGTCCTTTCCCTGGAGGATCAGTCGCTCTCTCTCTCTCTCTCTCTCTCTCTCTCTCGATCGTACGATCTTTTGAATAACGAATGAGTCTCGTTCGTGTCAATCCACGCGGGAAATTGAAAATTTTACCAGATGAGTTATAGATCAAAGTCTATTTCAACTTTCGTGTGCTGAAAAGAGGATGCTTAAAAAAGAGACAGACAGGGTGAGAGAGAGAGAGAGAGAGAGAGAGAGAGAGAACTCCGATAAGCTCGATATATTGGTATATACATCAACATATAAATTATAAAAGGAATATAATATATCCAAAGATGGTTACTCTCTTTCGACGTGAAACTTTAAATGTTTTTACGAGCAACTGACCTGGATGTATACTCCTGCTTAGTCTCGGACTAAAGTAGTTTAAGTAGTTTCTTCGGAACTTGCGGGTTTACCATTAAAGAAGAACCATTACGGCCAAGTTTAACGCCCATGACACATTCTTAAGGTCTTTCAAATATTTCACAGAGTTTATCGCTCTTTGCCGCTCGATCAAACAAAAATTACATAATATTATAATAATAATAATAATAATAATAATAATAATAATAATAATAAGAAGAAGAAGAAGAAGAAGAATGTATATTATATGTATTATAATAATTATATAATTATATTATAAATGAAATATCATGAAATAATATTTATTACATTCTCGAGTATATCCTTCTGATATCATCGATGAAAATTCAATCTTATATAATTTTTTAATGGCAGCTTGAGTCCGATTAAAAGAAAAAAAAAAAAAAAAAATAAATAAATAAATAATTAAAAAAAAGTAAAAATTTAAACAAAAAACAAAATGAATTTCTATAGTTTTATATAGAATAACGACACCGAATATGAAACACCATTTATATATATATATATATATATATATATATATATATATATGTGAGGACATTTATTTTTTATTATTTTTTTTTTAATAATTCTAAACATTGTCACAGTTTTGTTTTATTCAATACTTGAGTAAATATTATTGGTGTCTCATAGTATTTACATATGTTCGATATTCGATACAGTTATTCGAAATGAACTCATCATTAAATTCAAACGTCTTTGACGATTAACCTTTGAAAACGGATGATTGATCGAATGTACGTCACATTAGAAACTAATTCCATTCTGAACTTCGTCGTTTGTTAACCGCCTGGATTAACCCGTATGTAACGTGTCACTTCGTACTTGATTGCTGCTAGTAATTAATTCCCTTGGCGTTTCTTGTCGACTGGAACTAATTAGATTACGGAAAAAAGCACATGCCTCTTGTTTCCGTAATTTGTATTCCAACTTACTCGAGAGTATATAATTTAGTTAAAGGTAATGGATACACGTCCATTGTTAATTTCTCTCGACTATAATTAACAAGGGATATGGTACATTTAGTTTAAATTGCATTATTGAATTTTACATAATAGAAGACTAATGTACGTGAGACAGAGATATATAAGTATTGAAACGATCAATGTTGATAAAATAAAAATTAATTTTAACGATCAAAGTAATATTTTACATTATCGACGTTAGATAACAAATTCTTTTATACCGACGGTCGGTAATGTAGCAAATCATTTATATGAATAATTTAAGATGGCGTTACTGCTTCTCCTGAGACGGACATTAGCCATGACGTTCTAGTACCATATGCGGCAACTTCAAAGAACTCCTGTACCTAAGTGGAAAGACGAACCGTGAATCGATAAAAAATGAATGTATCAATTCTAATTCAATTTAAACTATCGATCATTTAAATTCTCTTTACTTAAAGTACTCGTGTTAATATATTTCAATTGCAATGCGTTGCGAACACGGTACCAAAACGTTCAAAATCTGTCGTTGCTCTTGCAAATGGCGATGTAAATGTTTGATACCACGTAAAAAGAAATCTCCCTTGCCGTTTAACAGGGCAACCAGCAGAGATGTTAAAATTGGTTTACATCCAAAATTGTATACTCATTATTCCCATGCACCTTCGGTTGGTCGTTACAATGTTTTGCCAATTAAAAGTAAAAGACAAGCGATAAGGTTATTATATCGAATAAAAAATATTTATATTAATAAAATTGAGAACAATTTAACATAGATTTATTAAAAAATATTTTCATTGTTCGATAATATTATTTTAATGATTAAATTCAGTTGGAAGAGAGAATTGGAAACGAAACAATTTTCTGAAAGCTTAGGTGGTCGTTATTTGGAATCGCGCATAATTCAAAGAGATTTGATGATCACAGGACGTGGCCCAGGAACTCACGAGATAGAGCAATGGCCGGAAAATGTTTTGAATAAATCTTGCAAGAGCATACGCGAAGACGTCAGTTTTGGCACTGTTCCACGTTTCAAAAGTGTTTACTCTAAGACACCTGGTCCAGGTCGATTAAAAAAAAAAAAAAAAAAGAAAAAAAAACAAAACAAAAAAATATATAAAAAATATTTTTTACTATTGAAACTATTTGAATTAATAATATCGAAACGATAAAATTTATGTGAATTTTTAGGATATCTTAAAGTACATAATCCTTATTATTATTTGGAGCTGAATAGATTGAAAGGTTTATCTTCTTTACCATCGTTCGAATACGATGGTCTTATGCCAAGATTTAAAGATATTCAAAGAGATTACTCTTTGCCATGTAACATGTAATCTCTTCTTTTTATTATTATTATTATTATTATTATTATTATTATTATTATTATTATTATTATTATTATTATTATTATTATTATTAACTATTATTAAATTTTTGAGATTGAATTTGTCCAATAATAATAATGATTACATTTAATGATTTCATAGATATAATGTAAAAGATCCGAGATCGATCGAAGGTATTTTAAAGAAAGTTACTGGAAAAAGAGGACCGTACGATTTATTTACAGGCAATCTATTAATTTAAAAAAGAATATAAATCTTTTAAAAATATTTTGTCTAACGTAAAACAGATAAAACATTGAATTTCAGGACCAAGGGATGATACTACTATAAAGGGATACATGGGTCGGAAAATAGAGGATTATCGAGGTTGGCCAATAAGTTTACCCGGTGAAATAGAAAAACTTTTAAATAAATCGAATTATTACAAGGGACGTATCTCAACTTGTCCAAGGTATATTATAAAAAATCGAATTATTATTTAAAAATTTACGAAGACATTTTAATAATCAATTGTTATTAGATTTCCAAAGATCAGTGGATTGAGAATGGCATTAATGGATATAAACATGTGTTATAAGAATCCAAATGATCCTGGACCTGGTCATTATAATCCTATCACACCTCGAAAGCCTAAAAATAGAATGTCTTATCCTTTTGACAGTAACGTTGAAAATATTCGACCGACACTTCAAAATATTGAATATCCTGGACCAGCAAGATACAAAATTAAAGAGATTAAACGTATCAAAGGGAATGGATGGACTTGGATATTTAAAAGCAAACAACTTAGAACTATAGGTGCCATCATTCCTAAACCTTACAATGATTTTTGATTGATTCTTTTCTCTCTTTTTTTTTTTTTTGTATATCTCAAAGGAAAAAAAAACGAAGAAGAGGAAGAAGAAAAAGAAAAAAAAAAAAAAGAAAAAAAATGAAAAAGAAAATTCTTACTCTTGGAGGATCCTTCTCAGTTGGACGATAAGTAATCGGAAGTGTTAAAATTGATCCAATCTCAAGAGTTTTCCCAGGTGGCATAAAAAATGGTCCCAATGGATTCAGCAAAGTCACTTGTACTTTTACCTCTCTGAAAAAGGAAAGGCAAGAGTTTGATACGAAAACTTCCGAGATTTCGACATGCAATTACATCACGAGGGAGATCACCGAGACGACACGGAGAAAGTATTGACTTAATTTATCCATAAGATTTTGCAATAATCGAATGCAACGGTTTACCTTGTAAAAAGATACAGAGAGAGAGAGAGAGAGAGAGAGAGAGGGGGGGGGAGAGAGACGATTAAAATTTAACTGACGATCTAATTTCTCTTTCTAACGATATATACCTGTCGGAGATATTTTTCACTGATAAAAACTTCCTCGACGAGGAGCCGATGATCGTTGGTTCGAAACTTATTTCACGTGTCGTATTCAAAATGATTATAACTGGTCTAATTACAGGACAATAAAGCTTAGCAAATAAAGTTTCTTCTCTTGTAATACCGTCTGCTGTTTCGATTTCTATCGAACAAGTCACGTTTATCGTTGTCGTGTATGCCACGAAATTCTCCAAAAGATCGCATTCTCCTAAAAACAAATCGTTTCCCGTGATTTCGAAATCCTCTTTCTTTTTCTTCGTTTGATCGATTACTTCTACTTCTTTGTCCTTCGATCGTTTTGACTGCTTACGCGTCGTCTTGCCTGAAATTAATTATCATTGAAAGAAATGACTTCGAAAGGAATCATAATTATTCGTAAAATAATATGTGAACAAAAAAAAAAAAACAAGAAAAAAGGAAAAAGAATCACCATGAGATTTATCTTTCTTCGTAGATTTCTTTTCGATCATAGTTTCAAACTTTAATCTTTCCAATTCTTCCGCAATTTTTGCCACCTTCAATTCCTTCGTTCTCCTCGTTACAGCATATTTCGATAATTTCGGCTCGAAAATAAAATTAATTATGACGAGATCGTTACTTTTCAAACGTCCATTCCCCGGGACAATGCTCATTTGACGTGAGGAACATTTGAATTCGTAATGAGCTGTAAATTCCTTCAATTGATCCTTTTTCAATACACTACAACTGCAATTTGGATAAGATGCCATGTTGAAGGCCCGCAGTTCGATGCCGATCTACATACATTCGTAATTATTAACGATAATTTTATATTACATCGATAGAACTAATAGTAATAAAAATGAGATAGGAAACAAATATTGAAATTGATGTAGAGACTTTTTTACGAAGCGAAATAATTTAAAACACGCGAATAAACTTTGTTCTTCGTTAAATTATATTAATCGGCGGCGCGATGAATTTTATTTATTTATTTTTTTTTTTTTTTCTTTTATTTTCTTTTTTAAACGAAATGTATCACTAAAAAATATTTATCCCTGATATCAGTATTACTGTACCGTAGAATATAATATAATGCAAGTAACGGTAAAGAAATTATAGTAATTCATTTATAAAGAAAAAAAAAAAAAAAAAAGATGTCTGAGAATTTCCAAAGATTTGTGTTTTGTTTCGCTAAATTTTCAATAAAACTGATTTGTTAATTTAATTCTATTTACATGCCAATAGAATGGCATTGATCGTCATTATTAATTTTTTACACTTTAATACTGAATTTAAATAAATAATTGTAATTATTAAATAATATACTTATTCTGACAATAGTATATCTTGTTACATGATACATTATATGATAATGATTTAAAATTAGTAATAATTAACTCACTATGGAAAAACAACCACAAGGAGTCCCTGGAAATTCTAAAATTTGTTCGCTCAATTCGCAATATGTATCGACGATATAGACTGAGACTTCGATCACATTATTTTCAACTCTCTTGTCCATTTTATGATCGTACTTAGAAACTGCATTAGGCGTATCTAATTCGAAGAAAAAGAAAAAAGAAAAAAAGACAAAACACAAGGTACACATTTGTAAAAACAATGATAAATATGATTTTCAATTATTATTGAAATATATTTTCATTTACTTTCTGCTTTAAACGAAGCTTCATCATAATCACGATTAACATTTTCTGTGATATCAGAACGACGAACAAATTCTTTTTTCAGATCCTTCGATTTTTTCTTCCATAACATTCGACATTCATTCACATCGACGACATTCGTTTTAAATGGTATACTCGAACCCATACGAAAATTTTTGGATTTTCCAACGTAAGGATTTTTCAATTTACCAATCTGCAATTCTTTCCCACGTCCAGCGAGCTCGGCGATCGTCACAACTTGTACAAGAAAACTAATTTCATAGTTACTATTAGATCAGCTCTTGATCTTTGCACTGTGGCTATGATAAAAAGATTGAAAAGATCATAAAGAAATGTATCTCAATGACGGCAGCGAAACTTTTGAAAGAAGAAATGTCGGTGGACTAATCTAACTTTCTTGAAAGAAATGATTAGAAATCTATTATTTATCTACCTGAGATAGTCAAAGTAGTTTAGGTATTGCGCAACGAGAACTTTTTCTTATTTTTTGTCTTTTTTATATATGTATATAAATACATATATATATATATATATATATATATATATATATATATACTTTTTTTTTCTTATTCTTCAATTGATTAAATTTTGTTACCTTCGTTCTCCCTCCAAACAGTTGGCACCTAATTCATTTCCAGGAATATCTATTGAAAATGGTGAATAAATCAGATGAAGGGATATGCTCTCGCCAGGTAAGATTTTACCGAAACCATAATTCGGCTGTATTTCCATAAATGATGGCAAATTTATAAAACCATATTCTTGAACGAGCAATGAAATATTTGTCAGTGTCAACTCTGCTAATACTGATTCGTGAGTAAACACTCGACCTAACTCTACGTGGCTTGGTTCTAAAAATAATATTATTATATGATTGATAAAATTATTTCTATGATACTTTAAATTAAATAATTTATTATTGATTGAATAAGTTTTTCTAAAATTATGTTCTTTTTCTTTTTTTTTTTTTTTTTAGCATAGAAGTAGTATAGTAAATATATAACTATAGTATTATATATGGATAAAAAATTATTTAGTATAATATTACTAATTTCAGAAGACTTTAATATTATATAAAGTTAATAAGTAGTCAATAAGTTTATCATTCTTTAAAAATGATCTCACCTAATATCAAAGCATGACAAGTTGTAAGCGTACTGAGTACTTTCAAGATCAATGGTGATGCATTTATGGTGTCCGGTGATATTGATTTTATATGTATTGGCACCTCCAATACATTAGATATAGAATTATAATATCTAAAAATAAATCCGAATGAAATTATTATTATAAAAAAAAAAAAAAAAAAAATAGATCATTAAAAAATACCTTTTCGATTTTTTTATTATATTAGATTCAGGAATGAATCTAACACTAATTGCGTGAATTGATTCAGGTTGGATTAAAGTTGATTGTGGATATAAAAATATTTGATTTTTAAGAGATCTTGGTATACTCATTGATACTTCGATACTAGATCGGCCTATATCAATTATAAATCATTATAAAACATTTCATTAGAGACTATTCATTAATTTTTTTACTACTTAACGTCTAAATGTTAAATTAACCAGTATTGATAATGTTAAAGTTCTGTTGATATATTCCAGAATCCATCATGATTATTCCTAGATCTATGTAAGATGGATCCAAATGAATCTGTAGACCTATTGTTTCTGCCCACATCGATACATTCTAATGAAATTCATTTGAATAATATTATTCAATAATATTATATTATACGTATAAATAAATTATATTCTATGTGTGAACTCGAAAGAATATATATATATATCTTTTTTATCGCGTACACGCCTGTCAAATATTTCATTGTTGATCTTGAAACATAATTGAAGAGTTTCGTAATGAAGCCCAATGTATTTCGGATAAAATTGAATTTTTAGACGGCATGAAAAATCAGCTGGTACATCGATCATAGAAAAACTCGTCTTTTTTTTCATCCTCTCGTTTTCATTATCGTCGGTCAATGTATCTATAAAAGAATCTATGAAAAATAAGATAAAATATAAAATATAAATACAATATAAAATAATAATATATATAAAGTAAAAAAAAAAAATATATATATATATATATAAATGAAAGATAAAATATAAATATAAAAATGTAAAATATATTTTGCAATTATTTATTTGACCTTCGTTAAATAACATTGAAATATCATCGTCGCACGATTCCGTGCTTTGAATTTCACCATTCTCGAAGCTCCATACGAAATTATTATATCTACGATCTTTATTCTCGATCAAAAGTGTAAATAATTTTTTGCCTTCGTTAGAAATCGTAAGAATTTTTTCGTTCAATTTCGATTTGGTAAATTTCCAAATAGGTGACGTAACAAATCTACAAACGAATGAACGTCGATTTTGTTAATGGCGAAAAGAATTTTTTGATTTTGTACATATTTTTTTTTTCTTTGTCTTTTCTTTTTTTTTTTTTTTTTTTTTTTTTTTTTTTTCTTTCTTTTCGGATAACTTTGCAAATTTCTACCTAATCTCTTGTGGATCGATTTTCGGTATTGGGATTTTAGGTAAACAATGAATCGGTATAGAAAAACGATGATATTTCGTTGGATTGTCAGGTCCAAATGTTAAGAAGTGTATTATAGCGATCACTTCTTCCTCGTGTATCGGCAAAAATTTTATTATTACTTTTACATGCAAACCGGGCATTAGTTTAACAGCAGAATCCATGCATACCTAAGATAATATAAATTAATGTAAGAATAAGTATAATATATAGAATGTACACACACACATATATATATATATATATATACATATGTATTAGGTT